AGCCTGGTCCGGTGAGAACCCGGCGTGCTCCGTCCCGGCTTTGTAGGGATGCGAGGTCAATGGTCTAACGACTACGGCATGCACGACTATGAGTACACCCCCCTCCCCGGTGTTGCCATCGGGATTGGGTTTTCGTTGATTGGCAACGACGTTGTAAAACAAGCCAATTCACTTCGTGAACTCGGCAACCAGGTTACCGTTTTTTTTTTTTACCTCCGTTTTTTTTTTTGGCGGTAACCATAATGGTGGTCGAGTAGATCATGTTGTGCGGGGTGGAGAACCCTCACTCCGCGCAAGGGGGATGATCGCACCACGTTGTGTTAAAATGGTCAAGCACCCTCGAGGCAGTTACACAGTGCTTACAACTGTCTCTGGAAGTGAAAGCACCAGAAAATAAATTAAGTCATACGCAGCTGTCATCCGTACGCAAGGAAGTAAGCACAAGATGCCGAAAACCCTTAGCAGGATGCAGCGCACCCTTCATGCGACTCGCCGAATATCTCACGGCGCTTCGCGCTTGGTGATGTGAGAGCCTGGTCCGGTGAGAACCCGGCGTGCTCCGTCCCGGCGTTGTAGGGATGCAAGGTCAATGGTCCAACGACTACGGCATGCACGACTCTGAGTACGCCCCCCCACCCATGCGGTCTTCCGGTTCGGCAGAATAACAAGGTATAACAAGATACTACCTCGGAAGCAACGGTTCCGACTTAGTGGGAATATGAGAGAAAAACACCAACGCAGAAATCGCGTGTGTCGTTACCTGGACCTTGTACCCATGCCGAGCATCTGTTTGTTGGATCAACCTCTTGCCTCTTCCGCTGCTGTTGTGCAACCAACCTAATCGTGCATCTGCTGGATCAGTCCGGAGTAGTCGGAGCTGGGAGGGGGACGGCAGTTGGCAGAGGAAAGGCCATCAGCAACGTCGCGGTATCCAAGGGGAGGGGCAAGGGAAAGGCCGGAGAGGGGACGGCCCGCCAAAGGGAGGCCGACCATCCGCTAGCTAAATGGTGCGGGAGTAACAATGTCCTTGCTTCCCTTGTGGAACAGTGATTTTTTTCAGACTGCTGTTGATGACCCCGTTTCGATATTTTTCAACCAGTGGATGTGAGCATCCGGTGGTCTAGTGGGTAACCTCGTATAACCTACTCTTTGTCAGCTGCGGGTTCAAATTCCTCTCAGGAGAGGACAGTATGCAATTCTGCGGTAAAAGCAAATATTTCGTGAGTACACTGCTATGGACGCGCAAACGTCCTAGGGTCACGCCTAAGCATCATCATGCCGGTGGTAGAAAGAAACGACATCTCAGTGAATGACACGGTGAATGTATGTGTGCAGGCCTTTGTCCGACTGTAATGGACGGCGTCAACTACTTTCGTTCATGGACAGGTTGAACGAGTGGACTGAACGGAAGGGAAGGGGGTGGGAAGGCGATGTTCCTCCAGTCGAAGGGCTTACTATGCGGGAAGAGGTTGACAAGCTCTTGGCTCAGGCAAGTTCAATGCTATACAGCAATCCGGGTGGGCCGGCGTTTGCCGTCGAATACTTCTGCGACGGGAAACGTGCGGGCGTCGTGGAAAGGTCTTGCCGGCATGCTCGTAACCAATCCTATGTTTCCTTGCTATCGATAAAGACATGCTTTGAAACCGGGGTCGGGGCAGGCACATATGGTACATACAGTTTCCGACAGAGAGGAAAAATTGGACAGGAATTTTCAGCCTGACATTGCCATGATTCACCAAACACAACGCAAACAAGTCTCGCTGTAAACGATATGATGTGGACTGAAAACTACCTGGAACCTTTCAATACAACAGTGCAGACAAGGTTGATGTGTTCATGACACAGCATCGACAGAATAGTCAACGAACGTGCTCTCTGAGTTTTGATTCGCACGATTATAGATTACAGATAATACTCCCCCCCCCCCCC